TATAATATTTAATAATAATCTCTCTGCTAACACGCATAAATTCTTAGATTGTAATAAAATTGTGTGTAAAAATCTATATACTCACTATATGGAGATGTGCAATTTTCACCATTATTAAAAGATTTTTGAACACATCTAAATATATAAAGCACATAGTGCACACACTACTAATCTGAGATATATATCGAGCACATCTTCAATCAAGTTCTTTCTCTGATAAATGCATTCAATATTACAAGACCAAATTGAAATTTTTTTATTAATGCTAAAGATACCGAAATTATATATATCGAAAATATTATAATAATTATTTATAGTTATTACCTAAATATTATATATAAATTTTATTTACGATTTTGTATCAATTTATATTATGCACTAGTAATAATCGAGGATTATGTTCTTCAAATTAAATTACAGAGCAACATAGCATCTTAAAATATAATTTAAGGTGCACCAAAATTAATTAAATGTTTGCGTCTATTATATATACTATTTAGGTACAAATATAAGAAAATGACCAAAGTATTTTTATTGATTTTTCGGATCTTTTGTAAGCACATGACAGAATTATTTAAATATATTGTCACTTATTAGAGGACAATATCTGATGCGTAGTTATTGTTTAATCATCCAAGTACTGATTAGTACAGTAGCAATTTTAATGCAGCAATGTTTGGCGATTATATGAACATATTTACTGCAATAACATTTTAAATAAGTACCTGTATTTTATATAGCAATATCTAATTGTCGTAATTTATATACAATCATTACCCATTTATTATGCGTTATTTACATTATAAATCTTTTCACACATTTCACTTTGTGTAATAATATAGTAAATGTATAAGAGCAGTTTTTTCATATACATATTATGTCAATTTTACCAATCTATGTTCAGTGAGAGAGAGAGAGAGAGAGAGAGAGAAAGAGAGAGAGACACATATTTGTTATCACTCTTCAATTCTATGCATACTTTGTATCTGTATTTTATATGCCATCATTACAAGAATATGTTTTTGTTTATGTTTGTATTTTATGTAATTATTAAATATTTGTCAGAGAGTAAAACAATATTTTGCGCATTTGATGTAACAGCTATGTGTTTATCTGTAGTCAAGGAATAGATATCTAGTCTTTTATTGTAATAAGTTATTTAAACATTTTGCACAGTAACATATATAAAATGGGAGAAAATTGCAGTAAAACAAACTGCATTTCTTCTAAAGCGAATGTATTAGTTTATTATTTGGAATGAAATAAAAAAATAACATTAATCGCGTATTTGGGACATGGATATTATTTAAATTAAATGTTGTAAGATTTTTTATCTACGAGATGTGCAAGGAACGGGTTTTAAATTATAGAATTCTAGTAAAAATTGAATGCGTTTGGTTCTACTGGAATAGATAACAGACGAAGATATGTATAATAACATATATTATTTATTATTACAAGATTTATAAAAAAGAGGTAACATTAAATATTGCCAGCATTATTTGGGCAGTAAACTTGTTAGATTAGTGAGCGCATTTTCTTAGTTTTTGTATTTTTATGTATAAACGACTGCTGTTTGTATCTCGATTAATACAATAAAGGCACTTCAGGTCTAGCACTCTTATTGACATAAATAAAGATTACAATACACGACGATCACTTTCTCATTTTATTATTTACAATTGGCGTACACATTACTTCTCAATTCTGTTTCGCGATTAAAATTACCTTGCATTAGCGTTTTACGCTTTCTATAGAATAAATATATCAGTAACATGTAAGAGCTCAACTAAATATTCCCTCAATTTAATTGTAGAATATTTCGTTCAATAGAATATTATAATACATTTTCCATGATAAAAATATTATTTATATTAATATATAAATAACATATTTAATATGTGTTTGCCATGGCATATAATAATCGTAATTAACAATTTTCTGTTAGGGATATTTATATTAAATTAGAAGTTTGTGAGTTTTCTTAGTGAATAACGAAGCAAAGCGTACGAAAATTGTTATTTGTTCATTATGTGCTGAATATAAAGTCCAGAAAAACAATTTAGATAAAAGCGAAAACTTTCTACAAAATGCATATTTATTTACATGCGAAAAAATATGTGAAATCACAAAATATTTTTCTGTTCAAAACCATCGGACTTAAATTCGCAGGATACCAATGTTTTAATGGTCGATTTATTCAGATACTGAACAATGATGATATGAACGCACAGATCAAACAATTTTCTTACATATCACTATATCAATCTTTAATTTCTTTATATATTTATAATTTCTTTGTACAATGCAAATATGTGATACGATATGTCAGACGATTTGGCAAAAACGGAGGATTATTACGAATTTATTATTGCGAAAAGAAAGTGTTCACCCTGTCAAACGGGACGGAGACAGGAGCTGAAGACTGAATGTCTTAATGACATGTAGTCTTTCTCTTTTTTCGTATAGATTTTTCTAAAATTTGCGGCCGATTTGTCATTTATCATTTGACAAAAAATAACTTAAATAATCTCTAATGCTATATATTATTCTTATATACAAGGGCTTTAGATTTATCGCTGTTGTTTGTACTGACCATTGTGTAAAAAGCAGTGCTTTCCTTCGGTTTTTCGTATAAAAAGCCGAATAGAAATTTAAATTCCTACATCCTATAGAAATTACAAACAACATCAATACGAATTTGGTTTTGGCAATTATAAAATTCACAACTCTGATGATTTTTCTCCCAAAAGAGAGACCCGGCTTTTTTTATCATAGTTATTGATATGGGATAAAAAACTTTTGAAATATTTTACAAATTTGTATAATAACATGAGATGAAATATTTTTTAATGCGTATCAGCAAGAAAATGATGTTTTGAATCATGACAAAAGATGCACATATATGCATTTTAAGGAATAATAATAATATGACACACAAAATTTCACACTACTAATTTTACAAATGTAATACAAACAAACAAACAAACATGTAAATATTATTAATAATCCTTTCTCATCGTTCGATTTGGAAGCTCAGTAATACTGAATTTTTATCTCAGCTTCGAGAAACTTTATTGTTATTACAAAATAGAACTAAAAATATTCCCGTTACTCTAATAGCCACGTTAGTGGTATTAAATTATATATTCGAGTAAAGATCTTTATCTTTAATACCTTTTTGCATGTTTTGTTTTACCGTTCGGAATTTCACGTGTATCCCTTTCTCAGATCGGCTTGAGCGGTCTTCGCATTTGGCCGCACGAATCTGAGAGCTGGTATACGCGACGCGGGTCTAGGAATTCCGCTTATCACAGCAGCTGGCTTGCTTCCGGCACTCCAATTGGTCGGTTGTCTCAACCGAGTCTTATTCTCAATTTTAGATACTACTTGATTCGGACCCTACAAGTCAATATATGTTTTTGTAATCATTCTACATATTCGTTAATTTAAATAATAATTTATTTTAATTTATAAATGAATCTTTCCATCCTCGTTTTTTCATCAAGCTAGTAACTAGTTGTATGTGAGAGAATTATAAATGTGAAATTTATTATTTAAGATGATGCATGTAAGAATTATAAGAACGTAAAGTATTATATATAATAAAAACTATATTAATTAAAAATAAATCAAAGTTTCTTTTTAATCTGAAATTGATAAAGATATGCATGGGCAATGAAACTTTACAGCAATTATGTGTGACCCACATATCGGACAAATAACACAGTAAATTTGAGCTGTTAACTCATAGCATAATGTTGATTTTTTGTAATACTATAAATTACAATAAGTTCGCGTAAAATATACCTCTGTCTTTTCAGCTACCACAACTTCATCCTTGATTTTTGTTACATTGTCTTCAGGATTTCCTTTAAATGCATGTTAAAAAATATGTGCTTATTTATTTTAAATTAAGTATTATTTAGTAATTATTATTTTAATTTTATATTTAAAAAGAGAGATAATCTAATTACCGTCGTTGTTTAATGCATGACTAGGCCCAGTAGGACTCATTATCGGAGAGCTACATTTCATTTTTAAATCGGTATTTTGTGAGTGTCTGTCAATTTCGCCGTATTCTACGCCATTTTTCAGAATCGGGGAAGGTAGATCCGTCTTCACCTCGACCCAAGTATTTTCTAGTACTCGTATATGCGGTTTGGGCGCAGAATCCTGTTTTAAACCTAAAGATGTACATTTAAAATTAGCGATTTTACTTAATAATCTCGCTAAAGCAATGTTTTTAATTGTAAATTTTATGTTGAGCTTACATTAAATTGATTATAAATCCTAAATTTTTATTGAATTTCATATTTTAAATTTTTATATTTTATATGTTTCATTAATTTTAAATTTCTGTATTCTGATATTTTAATTCTGTGTTCTATTTTAATAAACTCTAAATATGTAGTAAAACTCGGCGCTTACTTTCTTCCTGCATTCGTACTAGTTGATGTAACTGCTCAATATTCATTGTGCGTCTGTGGCATGAATTGTGACTGCTGCTGTCAGAACACGTGCTGAGTCTATCGTCCAGATCAGGAGCGCTATGGGCGCTCTGAGTGCTCTCTATGCTTTCCGTCGAGCCGGTGGTTATCACACTCTTTATCGGGAACTGGATATTGGTATTCGCGTTAACCTGCTCGAGCAACTGTTGCTCGGAATCGCTTTTCAACTTGCTGTACGGATGCAACCTGCTCGATAACTGCGATCTCTCCACGATGTCTCTTTGCACGATATCGGGCTGCGAGCCTTTGATATATCCCACGCTGGATATGCTCGCGTAACCAGCGGACGCGCCGCTGGCGGCCTTCAGCGAACTCGATACGAGATTGGGATTGGACTTTTGTAAAAACTTTGGTAATTTTGACAGCATTCTCGGTACATTTCTTTTTTGCTGCGTTTTTGGCGGCAGAGGTTTGCAGAATGTGCTGTCCATGTTTAGATGCATTTCGGTGTTCTCGTTGGAAATAGCATCAGTCTTTTCGACAGGATTGTTGTTGCTCTTTTTTGTGAAAGTATAAAATTTACATTGGTCTGCTGGTAATTCTCTTTGAGCGATTTCCTTCTGGCTTCTACAATGGTTTGTCAATACCGACTTTTTATATGTCTGGTATCTGTTCAATGGAAGAACGTCAGTCTCATTTTCGTTACAGACTACACGAATATTCTCCTTTGCATCTCTTGAGCCGAGATGATCACTGGGAATGTGGTTATATGTAGAATCCCATTTGCGCTCGTCGCTTCGTTGAATCTCTGCCAGCAATTCTCGCCTTAACGATGTGGGAGCTTTTAGCGTGGAGTACATAGTTTGCCGCGGCTGATCGAGGTGCTTTGCAGCGAGTTTCGATATTGAATTCAACATGTTTGGATTCATCGGCGTGGATTGATTATGAATAGGCACCTTGAAAGATATATCTAAGATGTTTGCCGCGGAATCGGCCGATGGAATATCACACGTTACGTTCAGATCCATTTGTTGTATTGTAGGCTTGTACGTATCGCTCTCAATCGATACGGGCGAATTTCCCTTCTCGGCATCCTTCGCCGAAGATAGATATGTAGTATCTAATGGCTTAACGTCATTATTCACTTCGTTCGGTAGTTGTACGAAGGTCGCGTCAGCCTTAGGCTCGGTTACAAAAGTGGAAGACAAAGTGGCTATTTCTCCTTTGTTGAGACTCGATCGCGATACTGACGTCTCGATAGTTTTAGTGTCATACGTTTCGTTCAAGCCTTTATCCAATTGAACAGATTCTTTGGAAATGTTGCTCAGAGTATTTGTGCAATACATTTTGTCCAGTGTAATCGTATCATCAGCGTTTTGCATCACGAATGTTTCATTGATACTATTAAAGTTTGACTCTTCTTTTACATCATTTTGAGTTTCATTCTTATTTGTTACTGATATTGTGCTATTTTCCACAAATGTGGACTCGTTTATAGGCGAGATAATAGATGCATACAAAATAGAGGGCTGCGACATATTTATCAATGGATCATTGAATTCAGGTTCGCCTAAATTTATGAACGAATCAATTCCTTTGGATTGCGACATATTCAAAAATGCTTCCATGCTTTCCTGGCCTGATATTATGGAAAAGTTGTCGTTGGATAAAATGTTTACAGCTGTTTTAGCAGATGACTTTAGCATCAGTGGCACAGATTCTTTGTCTCCCATTGTTGCAGGTAAATATTTTCCCACCTGTAATATAAACAAATTATATAATACTAGCACATATTACATAACAAAATTTCAAACATCAAAATATTGATATATTACAGATTTTGATTAATAACTAATAATTATTATAAAATAATTTAAAAGTTACTGTAAAATAATAATTGTATAGGGAAAATACTATTTTTTATCTAACTTTTATTTAATCATTTTATTATTCTACAAATATATCTGTTTGTTTTATAATATAAAAAATACTATTTTTAAATTAATTTTTTAATTTATATCGTAATTTTTAAATATATATCTATGCTTGAAAATATATAGATTAAAAATAATAAACTTACATTTTCTGTGCGCGTAACATCTATATTTTGTATCTCTGATGTCGTTGTCGTGGGAGAAGGGGGTAATCCTTCAAAAATTGATTCAAAACTCATTCGAACTGACCGTTTTTTAGGTCTTGTAAATGTTCTTGTGTCGATGCACTTTTTGTTATCTAGAGAAACGTTAAATTTCTAGCTTTAATAGGTAATGTAAATCTAAGATTATAAATCAAGTTAAGAACATTTTGCAAACAGCTTATTCTGTGAAATATTATGCTTTATACTTTTTACATCCAATTCCGGTTCTGTCTTCAACCAGGTGTATAGATCATGAATTGTAGATTCGATTGAACATTGCAGAGGCATATACAACCTGAAAAAAAAATAGCAACTTGAAATTGACTTGGTTATATTGGAGCAACAAACATATAAAACACTAAAATATCAAATTCATCAAATTATAAATAACAATTATATTTATCATGTTATATAATTACAATATATAAATAAAAATGTTTTATTTATGCATTTTTTATTTTCAGCTTAACCCAACATAATATGTCATAAACTTATCAATAAATTAGCAAATAGAAGAATATTATCTAAAACAATTTTTAGATAAATGTAATTAAAATTCTTAAAAAAGGAAGCAACGCATAAAATGAAGCGTATGAAGAAGAGCACAAACAATCTTCTAATTAACATGATTATTTTTCTTTCTGTAAACAGCACACAAATAATAGTAAGAGAATATATATCATTTCACACACATTTCATCTATGATATTCTTATCATATTTTTCTAAACATATTTGTTTTTTTACGACGAGTAAAAGTAAAGATGGAATGGAAAAATATTTTTTCCGATTATTAAATGCCTTCAGCCTTAATGCAGTTATGCTCCGAGAAGAAATAAGATAATTAAAGAGCCACTGATACTGACCAATCGTCGTTGTCGTCGAGTTGCAAGTCCGACAGATCGACGCGGTCGATCTCGTCGACGAGATAGCCATCGTGCGTATATTCCGTGCGCTCGACAATCCCGTCCGGATCCGTCGTGTCCGATGACATATTTCGCGGCCGAACGTATTATCGAATCGAACGTATACACATATTTCGCACAGTCCCCGGATATTCGCACTCTCGAAAACAAACGCGCGCGGCTTGAGAAAAAGGGATTTTATCCGCTTAAAGAGGCAACGACGGCAACGACGGCAACGACGACGACGACTCGCTGGAATCGCTGCGACTAAGGGGAAAGAAAAAGATGTTTTTTATATCTACCAGTCGGATCTCGAATCTCGGATCTCGTCGCGAACATAACCGCGTCGAACGCGAGACTTCGTTGTATTTTCAGAGTTTCGTTAACGTCACGGTGCACGAGATAAATAGACGCTGCATCGGATGACGAATCTTGAATCCGGTCCAACGGAATTCGGTTACCGGAATAGTTGTTTCCATGAACCGCGATCATTGAGCGCGTTTAGCAGAACAATTTTTTTAATATTAAAATTCTTTTAATATTGTTATTTCGAAAACTAATGTAAAAAAGCCATCTTTTTAATATCTATAAAACGTTCATTCTTTAACTGTGTTGTTCAAATTTTTAAGATAATGCAATTATCAGAATTCAAATATAAGCGGGAGTTGACGAAAAATTGCGAACGTCGTGATTTTTATTATAGAGTCTCTAGGCAACGCCAATAAATTTTACAAAATCTTTTGTAAAAGCGAGTTTGATTGGCTGTAGTTTTTACTGCGCGGGCACAAAGCATCCGTTTGCACGAGCCGTTACCGTTACCCCTCTTGGTATCGCACGTTTATCCACGGTCAACGGTCAAGAAGCAGCGACCGGTTCGGTTCATGCGTTCGGTCCGTTGTTCGCAGTCGTTCGTTCGCGTTCATTCCTCGCTTCGGTCAGATTTCGTCTCTTCTCTTGCGGATCAGCTACGTGATACGAAGGTAACGAACGTAACCCGAGATATCCAGCACGGTGTGTCTTACGACGAGGAAAAGGTCCTTTCACGTCGCGTTCGCACGCACGTTCGCCGCGACGTATATTCCTCTCGCGCGCGCACTTTGTCCCCCCCGTTTCCTTCTTTTTCACGTCTTTTATCCTACGATAGGCATTCCTCCTGACCCCATCGTCCCCCATGTGCGCACGTTTTTTCGTGTCCGATTTTTTTCCGATGCGAAATTACCGCGACTAGCGCGTCTTGAATTTTATCCCATTGTCTGTCATTCCACGCTCTTTCATCGCACTTTGTCGACGCGTGTTCGATTTATTATACTGCGTATAGTATCTCGTCTAGTCTTCTCGTTGTGAACTGTTCTCCTCGCGATTGCTCCAATTTTGCTGCAAGTATTCTTTAATTACATTGCAATAAAATATTCTCTCAATTGGTTGCTTGCCTTTTTTTCTATGTGAACCCAGCAATGTACACTTTTGCATAAATTTTAATACTGCTTTAGCGAACAAAATAAAATAGTCATACCAGTGTGAAATATATAGATCTAACCCTAAATCTGGTGTGCGTTCAAAAATCTTACTCGTAAGGATAAAAAAAAAAAAAAAAAAAAAAAAAAAAAAAAAAAAAAAAGAAAAGATGGTAATTTTGAGCGAAATTTTTACCATGTGATTCAGCGCGATTTGAATCGCAACGGTATTGTGAGAAAAAAAAATCTCATTTCATCTCTCGACATATGTATCTGGCGTGTTATTTCATTACGTGGCTGCGTCGAAATTGTGTAATTTCTTGCAATCTTATTCTCTATATTCTTTTTTATATGAAGGTTTTGATATATCATAATTCCAGAGCACACATTTTTTGCGAGCACTGTGTTGTCACATTGCACACTCTTGTCTTGTCTGTTTGAGAAATTCGACCGTTTACATTGATTTCTCAACTTTGTACCTGAAATAATTTACTCTTTGTAATTGAATTATTAAAATGTTTTCTTTTTTTGCAGAATATTTTATGCTACTCTTTCCTTAAAAGTTTGTCTTTTATTAGGAATCTAGAAGATTGTAAGAATTTTTTGTATTAAATTGCCTTGCACCTACATACATTATCACCTTTATGCCACTTGAAGATGGATTTTTCCTCCAGCAATGTACACTTTTGCATAAATTTTAATACTGCTTTAGCGAACAAAATAAAATAGTCATATACCAGTGTGAAATATATAGATACATAAAAAAAAATCCTCAGTCTACGTAAAATTCAACAAAATTATAATTGTAAATAGAATTCGACAAATTTATGACTTAAAAAGACCAAACGCTAAAAGATTCTTAGATCAATGTAGATAGTTGACACTAAAGATGTACAAAGGTTAAAGAGATTGATAGCGATACATTTGAATTGTAGTAATATGACAACCGATCCGGAACGCGCCGTCAATACTAGTGCTACGGAATCCGTCGAAGACGAAGATGATAACAACCAACGCAAAATTTTACGTAGCACTGAAGTATTAGAAGCTCTTCGAGATTGTATTACTACATCACCATTAGAGGTACTGCAATATTATTTCGCGTCTTGTAAATTCGACAAATTTATATATCTTTGAATTTATAATAAATTGTGACTGACCTTGTGAAATGTTTATAATTACAATGATATTGCAAAAATCTTTTTCTGAACTGCATGCTTTCTAATGCTTATTTGCTTTTATGTCCCACTTAACTACAAGTTTCAACAGAATGATACATTTCATATATTTGTCATGCAATTTATTTCACATATTTGTCATTCAATTTGCTATCTCCATTTCATTAATTTGAATGAAATTATATAATTATATATCTATATATCATATTAATTATAATTATAAACCTTACATATATCGTTGTCATTAACTCATATAAAATATTAAGAATTGGTTTTTTTAATTAATGATTTGTTATT